ACTGATGGAAAAAGATGCAGAGACTCACAGCCAAACATTAGGTGGAGCTCACATTATCCTTCAGAACAGGGCAAGAAGGCATTGAAGGACCCAGTGATGGCAATGGCACCAAGAAAAAAAACCCAGAATCAACTAATCATAGGGCATCAGTGAGACTGAACCAACAACAGAGCTTACATGAGACTGACCTAGGTGCTCTGCCTGAATTCAGTTGTGTAACTTAGTGTTCATGCAAGACTCCTAATAATGAGAGCAGGGGGTGTCTGTGACTCTGGTGCATGCTTTTGGGACTCATTCCTCCTACCAGATTGATTCTTCCAGGTTTAATAGATGTGGAAGAGCCTAGTCACACTTCAACTTGGTAGATCACTGTTGGCTGATATCATTTGGAGGCCCACATGTATCTAAATAGAAAGAGTGGAGGGCAAGAAGATCAGGTGGGGGAAGTGGTGGAAGAATGAGGAAGGGGGGGTTGGAGGGAAAATTTGGTTGGGATGTAAAATAAAAGAAATTTAAAAAAATCATAAAAAATTTCTTAACCTTAAGAAGAATATGCCTATCAATGTAAAAGAAACATACAGAACAACAAATAGACTGGATCAGGAATCAAAGTCTCCTCAGGATATAATAATAATAATAATAATCATTATCATTATCATCATCATCATCAGAGGACAAATTATGGATGGATAGGCAAGGACTTGAATGGGATGATCAAGTGGGGAGGGGGAAAGGAGTGGAACTTGAAGGAGGAAATATGAGAAGAGACAGCTAAAATTAAGGGATATTTAGGGAATGTATGGAAATTTAGTACAATAGCAACTTCTTAAAGTATATACACATATGATGGCCATATAAAAATATTACCAAATAATGTGGGAGTTAGTGTCCAAAATAACCATCTCTTGTCATCAAAGGAAGCTTTCAGTACTGGGACTGGTTTACATCTAATTGAGTTGTTGCACAAAGAGATCCCATGGGAATCCATAAACAACACAGGCTGTTGCTAAGAGTATCGGTTACTGTCCACAAACCTATGGCAAGGCCACATTCCTGAACACAACAGCTTCATCACTCATTCAACGTGGATAGTTTGGGCTGGTGACTACATAGAGCTTTCAAACCCCTATTTTCTAGCACCTTTGTTAAAGGAAGTTTCTCTACAGACTATCAAAAAAGAAATAGAAACATGAAGCCAGCCACAAATTCTTTGATCTACAGTGTTGTCTTTCCTGAGAGAAATGCTAGGGCAATAATGGCACAAAGCTCATTGGAGGAAACAACCAGTAATTTATTTTATTTAAGGCCCACTAAATGAGATGGGACCCATACATGGCACTGATTTCATGACCAGAGACTAGATAGCTTGGGGACTTTGGGTAAAATCAAGTAATTCTGGATTAAAAAATAGTAAGAAAAATGACTCCTAATGACACTCTGCTATGCTCAGACTAGTACTTTGTTCAGCCATCACCAGAGATGCTTTCTGCTGAAGAAGTTGGGAACAAATATAAAGAGCCTCAGACTCAATACACAAAGTGAGATACTTTTGAACAATCATCCTTAAATTGTATTTCTCCACAAAATCTCTCCCTTTAGAGCTTAGAGAATGTTTCAGAAGAAGAAGGAGAAAAAGAAGGAGGAGGAAGAGGAGAAGGAGGAAGAGAAGGAGGAGAAGGAGGAGGAGGTGAAGGAGGAGGAAGAGGAGGAGAAGGGGAAGGGGAAGAGGAGGGGGAAGTGAAGGAGGAGGAGGAAGAAGGAGAAGGAGTAGGAGAAGGAAGAGTATAAAAGCCAGAGAGGAGGGAGGACACCAAGAAAACAAGGCTTTCCACATTATCAACATCAGCATGAGAAAAGCACATGTGAACCCACATACTGGAGCAGAATGCATAGTGCTGCACATCTGCACCAGTTTTCTGTTTTTATATTAGGACTTCCACTTTAGTGATTTTATGAGATTCCTGAATGTGAGAACATATGTGTCTCTGATTCTTTTGCCTTCTCTTGTGCTGTTTTCATATGTAAACCACATCAGGACAGTCTTCCTGTTCAGCAGTAGTTGACTAACATATAATAGACTCCACAGTTTTTTTTTTTTTTGGTGTGTGTGTGTGGGGGGGCATGGGTGTTTTCATTCATTTACAGTTTGTTGTTTTTCTTTTTTTTAAATACTGTTTTCAATGTGGGGGGTTAATTGATTTTCTGTTTGTTTTTTGAGAAAATATTTAAAGTTGAGTGGGTAAGGATGGGGAGAAGATTTGGAAAGAATTGTAGAAGTGGAACAATATGATCAAATTTATTTAAATTTAAAAATTGTTTTAAATAATAAAAATATAATAAGAAAAATCAAAACAAAAACAAAGAAATTACAACTATCAGTAAACTTTGTCATGACGAGAGTCTATTTCTATAAGATAAACAGTGGCTTTAACTAAATTTTTTGAACAGTTCTAAAGATGTGCAAGTGTTTTCTCTGACAGACTATGTGCTAAGTGCAAAGTTTTTGCCCAGTAAAATGTAGGATTGATGGCTTTATCTGTGACATGTAAATGATGGTTATTTTCCCCTATAACTTCCAAACTACTTAAATTTTTGAGTTGCTGATCAAATTAGAATATTTTTGTACTTATATACTTGGTGTCATTTTTATGTGTCCATCATTAGAGGGATTTTTTTAACTGAAAGAAAATAAAATATACTAATGAATGTTAAATTATTTTTCATAATGGCCTTTTTTTTTTCTCTTTTTTTTTATTTTTTTTTTCTGAGTTGATTTTTTTTCCCATCACAGGCAATTTATTTTGTTCTATTCATGCACAGTTAATACAGAAAATACTTGGAAACATTTCCATATAATATTTGACACAGAAATCATCAAATAGAAGTATACAGTGTTGACAGGAGGCAGTACATTTATAATTTATAACCCCAAAT